TAGGTTACACTCACAATTGAAACAATTAGCTGGTTTGACATTTTAATTGATTATTGCAATATTTTCACACTGATATTGTAATTTGTTAATTTTATTTTTAATATGAAAATAATGTAATCTAATAATTATGACCATAAATCAAAATACTGTTTAATAAAATTGTATGTTATGTGGATGTAGTTAATTAAATATATTCATCAACAGTTTGTGACCTCTCTTTCCCAACACGTTAATTGCTCAATGCTGCTTTATTCCTGAAAAAATATGTGAGAAATAAGAAATTAATATTACACTAAAACAACCAGATACCCTATATAATAATTGTTGTAGTTAGTGTCCGACACTGGGTACCAACGTTTAACTGCTATTAATCCAACACAATATTACACACGATTGTGTGCAGTGACATAACATTTTTGCTAACAATAAGTAATTTACATGAACCTTGCCTGCACCCTACCCTAACCTTAAATTAACTGACACTCATTGTAACTGGTAAGGCCACCTGTTTGCACAAAGCCGTTTAAGCCGGTCAGTCAATGCTCTTGAAATTCCACTCATTTTCAAGAACCCAGGGCTTAAGCAGATATATGCTACTAACAAGGTGATAATGTTGACAACAGGACCCCGAGGACTTGCATGAATTCAACTAAAATTTTGTATCATTTTAGCATGTTGAAAGAATGAGAAAAATAGTTCAAACAAATAGTATGTAAATATTGGGGTTCAGTGTCAGGCGAACAACCACTGTGTATTTAAAATATTTTCCTCCAAAAATGCATGATCAATTACCAACATCAAATATCATCAAGAATGTTTCATTTTCTAGTAAGCTGCAGATCTTCCCCATTGACGAGTAAAATCCATAGGCGTACAGGGCTCAGCTTTCCAGGGGGAAGTTGAAAGTTTGCCTGAATTTTTATGGAGGATTGTAATGAAATTGCCTGAATTTAACCTTATTCAAAATTGTTACCAGAGAAGTACCAGGCGGGAAACGAATTCTGATAATAAATATTAATGCCCAGCAAAGTGCTTTTAAAAGAGCCATAAACCATTAAATTTAAAAATTTTATTAAAGATTTAGTAACGTTTCGTCTTAACTCAAGACATCTTCAGACTATATTAAATTACAAGCTGTAAGAGTAATTAAGCATAAAGTAAAGCTATAGAGAGCAAACAGACAAAACATAAAAAAAAGAGATCAGAATACGTGAAGAGGAATTGAACTGCCTTGAACGTTGAGAGAGGGTTTCATTTTAGAGATAAAAAAGCTTTCATGAATAAGGAGTTCTTGTTCATCTGAACAAGAGGAGAGGATTTCGAAGTCGTCGATAGAAGCAGCGTGGCCTGTGGATGTGACTATGTGAGATGTGAGAAAATGCTGGACTGGGGAGGATTTTTACATTGTTTGCCAGTGATAGGAGTGATACCCAGATGTTCCGAAACTCGGGTGTGTAGATGGCGCGTGCTTTGACCCACATACGATGCGGAATAGCATCGACACGTAAAAGAGTACACTACACCCGACCTCAGTGCTTTGGGTATTTTGTCCTTAAAAGAGAAAAAGGTTGAGAGCCGTTTAGTTGATCGAAAGACAAATCTTATATCAAGATGTGGGAAAGCAGCACGACAAAGACGGTTGATTTGCGTGCGAATTTGCAAGGAGTGAGTGCCCGTGAAAGGGAGACAGAAATAAATTATTTTCTTAGGAACAGTATGAACAGGTAGCTTAGGTTGAAATACTTTGTTAAGAAAAGTTCTAACACATCGGTCGTACTCATATGAGAAGGGAAACCATTTAAGATAAACATTCTACGTGCTGCTTCAAGTTGGTGATGGAAAGTCTCATAGCTAGAACAAATGCTAAAGATGCGGTGTGTTAAGCAAGATATTATGCTGCGTTTGTATGTAAGTGGAATGAAGCTATGGAAGTTAGTGAAAAGACCAGTAAACGTAGGTTTACGGTAAACAGAAGTAGAAAATTTTCCATTGGAGCGGGATATGTCAATGTCAAGAAATGGGAGCTTACCATCACGTTCAACCTCACTAGTGAAGCGAATGTTGGTGTGCTGGCGATTAAGATATGTGAGAAAGAGCTGTACATGCTTTGAGCAACGAAAAAGTAGGAAACAATCGTCAACATATCGTCTATAGAGAAGTGGTTTGAAAGACGAAGGACAGTTGTGAAGCCAATCCTTTTCGTGAAAGGACATAAATATGTTAGCAAACAAAGGTCCTAAAGGACTACCCATAGCTACGCCGTCAACTTCATGATATAAACGACCATTGAACACGAAATGACAATTTTTGACAGAAAGACTTAAGAGTTTAGTAAAATCAGAACGAGTGAGGCCATGAAATCTACAACAGTTAGAAAACAAACGATTAGTAATTATCTCAATCGTTTCATCAACAGGGATGTTAGTAAAGAGTGAAGTAACATCAAAACTAGCCATTATAACATTACTAGTATCAAGATCAGAAGAAAGAAGTTCCTGGACGAAAGAGAAGGAATCCTTAATGACATAAGTGCTGGTCGAGATGGGAGTGAGAAGAGGAATAAAGAATTTAGCGATATTATACGAATAATGATTAATGCAAGAAAGGATAGGCCTAAGTGGGATATTACATTTATGTGTTTTAGGTAGTTCATACAGGATGCCTAAGCGTGAACCTGTAGGATACAGTTCATTGTAAGTTTTTTGATCAATTGATCAAAACGCTTTCAGATTTTTCAGCAGAGTCTTGACATGATTTTCGCGCTGTAGTGTTGCTTTGACAGGATCTTCATTCAAGAGTTCAAATTTCGTGTTATCAGAATTAATGTCAAGAAATGGGAGCTTACCATCACGTTCAACCTCACTAGTGAAGCGAATGTTGGTGTGCTGGCGATTAAGATATATATATTCGCTTCACTAGTGAGGTTGAACGTGATGGTAAGCTCCCATTTCTTGACATTAATTCAGATATCTTAATCGCCAGCACACATTAAGATATATATATTAATCAAAATTAATCTGAATAATAATCTGAATTTCGTGTTATCAGACAAATTTCGTGTTATCAGACAGAATTGCTTTCCCACATCTTGATATAAGATTTGTCTTTCGATCAACTAAACGGCTCTCAACCTTTTTCTCTTTTAAGGACAAAATACCCAAAGCACTGAGGTCGGGTGTAGTGTACTCTTTTACGTGTCGATGCTGTTCCGCATCGTATGTGGGTCAAACCACGCGCCATCTACACACCCGAGTTTCGGAACATCTGGGTATCACTCCTATCACTGGCAAACAATGTAAAAATCCTCCCCAGTCCAGCATTTTCTCACATCCACAGGCCACGTTGCTTCTATCGACGACTTCGAAATCCTCTCCTCTTGTTCAGATGAACAAGAACTCCTTATTCATGAAAGCTTTTTTATCTCTAAAATGAAACCCTCTCTCAACGTTCAAGGCAGTTCAATTCCTCTTCACGTATTCTGATCTCTTTTTTTTTATGTTTTGTCTGTTTATGTTGTCGTCTAATTTGTATATTCTCATTTTTGTCCGTCATTTCCCTTCATTATCCATTCTTATCCTTACGTTCTGTGTACCTCGTATTCGCTTGTAATTTAATATTGCTATGATAGCTTTACTTTATGCTTATCTTACAGCTTGTAATTTAATATAGTCTGAAGATGTCTTTTAAAAGAGCCATAAACCATTAAATATTAAAAGCACTTTGCTGGGCATGAATTTAACCTATTAATTTTCTGATAAATCTGCCCAAATTTTCTTGAGTTTTTCTAGCATTTGCCCGAATTTCCATGGTTTTCCAAAATTTTGGGTTGCAGTAAAGCAGTTGCCTCTCCTGCCCCCTGTCTTGTACACATATGGTAAAATCGTCTGGCATTAGACAAGTAAAATAAAAGTAGGGCGCACTATATGAAACTGGCTTAAACAGAAGTTGGTAGAATTGAACTGCCAGTTTTTGGATCTTGATAGGCTTGATAATTCTCACATTAAAATTTCATTCACAGCCATCAGTGGCCAGTTTGCCCCAGTTACATGGATTAAATAGTACATTCAAAGCCATGACAGTTCTGGCTTAAAAAGGTCTTCTTCTATAGGTATACTAATACAATAGAAAACACTTCAATTTTACTAAGTAGTATCATGAAGCAGACGGTACGTGGTATTTGTGGTAACTGGCAATTTGAAAAAACAAATGGAACTAAAATCTGAAATTTCAACCATTTTCTTACGAGGAAGACTGTTTCTCGTATTAATATAATTTGGGCAACCTAATTGTATACATCAGTTGCTAAAATTGTCCACTACACAGCACAAATAGGCTGTTTATTTCGCTTTGT